GAAAGAACTTTCGAGGTAGGCAAACCTATTCTTGTTTCTTCTTTGTATAAGAATCTATAACTTTTTTATCTATCCCCATGAGTCGAGCCAAATCCTTACGAAATCTTAACTTGTGTTTTTTGACATATATCTTATTAGAAGCCTTAAGGTGCAAACCCAACAAAGTTGAATATTCTTTGATGGTTGGTGTCATCTCAACTTTATTGAAGATGAAACACTTGTATGCAGGATCTCAAAATTATGTTACAACTCTGATTAGTTAATCGTCGATAACTACTACGAGAAGGTATGCTATATGCCCGTGTCTCTGATAAAACTTTTTTTGTCTAGCTGGGCTCATCTTCTTCCATATATCAATCAATTCTTCTAGATTATTTTGTTTGAGAAAGATAGATGTTTCTTGAGATAGGATAAAATCATAACTGATTGGTAAACAATCTTCCATATTTAGTTGTATCTTTTCTGACTAGATTTTTACTTCATTGGATAGCTCACAAGGAGCTAATACAGATGAGGAGCAAACTAATCATTTTGTGAAGTCCATGAAAAACTTTTATTGAAGATCGTCTTTCAAGCAAATGTTCTTTATGTAACTTTATGATATGAACATGAACCAATGCAAAAGAATGAGAGAAAATATTAGTATGCCCAAAAAAATTTACAAAAAAGGTTCAATTTTATTAGGCTTTTGAATAACACAAATTTATTTGCTGGCCTGACTCTCAAACATCCCCAGTGGAGTCGCCAAACTATCATAACGTCTAGATTCGAGGATCTATCATTAGACATTAATTTAAAGGAGTCACCACTAATCTTTTTATCTAGGTGTGATTGGCCACCTAAAGAATATATCCTTTTAAGGAACACCTAAGCCTAAGGGTCTCTAAAAGAATAGGTTCAAGTTTACTAACCAGAATAAAGTTTAACAGTACGGTTACGTGTGAAGAAGGTTATAGCACTCTCACAACGCCCATCAAAAGATGGTACCAACTTAATTTTGTGTTATCTAAGCCTTAAAAATTTACCAAGTAATTAATTATTGAGAATTATTCTCAATTGACTTTAATACTTTTAGCAGAAATTTGAGAAAATTCCTTCACCTCAAGAGTATGCAAGGAGACTACTGTTTCACTTGTAGAGGCTCTATCATCAGATTATTTAAAATAAAAAGAAAAAAAATAATGATTCAACTTTTAATATAAATCTTTTCCTCTTTTTTAAAAAAACACTCATTGTTTTTATATAAGGAAAATTGATACTTTCAACTTTCCCTAAAATGTTTTTGAAAGTTTTACTTTTAAAGAAAATTGATATTTTCAACTTTTCCTTAAAGCATTTAAAAATTTTATTTTCAAGGAAAATTGATACTTTCAACTTTCCCTAAAATGTTTTTGAAAATTTTATTTTTAAGAAAAATTGATACTTTCAACTTTTCCCTAAGAATATATATATATTTTTTTTGAAAATTTTATTTTTAAGAAAAATTGATACTTTCAACTTTTTCCCAAAAATATTTTTTTAAAATTTTTTTTATTTTAGAAAAATCATAAAAATAATAAAAATAAAAATAAACATAAAATAAAGAATATTAAATAATTCTAATCTAATCAATAAATAATAATAACAATAATAAAAAAAAAAAAACCTTAACGCGGCTCGGCTTAAACAACTGGGATTGGCTCGGCTTGAGAGACAGAAAATGGCTCGGCTTGGTGCGGCTCCAGCGGTTCGGCTCGGCTCAGCTTGATGATTGAGGTGCGGGTCGAACTTGGGTCGAAAGCTGGTTGCGATGCAAGTCGGGTCGGGTCGTCCGAACAGAAATGCACGAATCTTCTGAGTTTATTAACACCAAAACGATGTCGTTTTAACAGGGTATAAAAGGTAAATACTTTCGTTTTTTCACCAGATCTCTCTTTCCTTCTCTTTCTTCCATTCTTTTCCTCCTTTCTCTCTCTACTTGAACCCAGATTCCAATTGAAACTCTATCAAAATCTGACAAAAACTTGCTGAAAACTTCAAATTTGGTCGAAAAAGTCATCGAAAAATTCAAATGTCGTTGAAAAATTCGTCGGATTCTGGAAAATTTTCCAGAAAAAAAAAACTTCAAAAATTTTAAAAAATTTCCCACAAATTCCTAAAGTTGTTTCTAACAGGCCTGAACCTTTTTAGCTTCTGTTTCCTTTTCGTGTCCTCTTGTGTGATCTCTGTGGACCTATTTATAGAGATTGATCAGAAGAGTTTCTAATTAATCCCAATTCCCTCTTGGATTGGGATTCAATCTTTGAATCCAATCTAGACTCTAATTGAATCCTAAATTCACGGTAAAATTTCAACTTTTTCTTATCAATATCCTTTAATCCCTGCCAAAGAAAAAAATAGATAAATAATAAAAAAATATGTATAGACTAATAGATAAATAATAGATAATAGTTAATAATAAAAATTTATATACATTAATGGATAAATAATAATATATATTAATAGATAAAAATATATATATTAATAAATAATAATACTAGCAATAAATAAATAAATAATAAATAAATAAATAAATAAGATACAAAATAAAAATATAAAATGAGCTTACCCATTTGGATAGGGCCCAATTGATCCGGACCTGAATCAAATTAGGTGTCTATAGCTGTGAGTGCTTTCTGATAAGCAAAAACAGCCTCATCATATCGAGACAAAGATAAGTATGTGTCTCCAATGCTGCAATCAACAGAAGTCACCTTTGTCTTCTGGCCATTTGCCACCATGGCCATACTGACTAAAACAAAATGTTCCAAAGTAGTTTCATGGTCTCCTTTTGTTTCACATATAAGACTCATAAGCCTCTTATCTGTTGCCTCTTTAAAAGAAATTGGTGAACCATTCTCTTTATGAATGTCAAGAGCTATTTGGCATAGCCTCTGTGCTTTATCAAATTGTAATGCTTGCACATGAGCTTCAACCAAATACCTATAGGTCTCACCAACTCTGGGATCTGTTTCTCTAAGAACTTGTTTCTGGACTTCAAAACTAGTGCTGTAATAAGTTATTGAATTTTCAAGCTATCCTAGCATTACATAAGTGTCACCTATCTGCATATGACCAGTAAACTTAGCCAAAGCATGCTCTTCGCCTTCCTCAATCACTAGAATCTTAATTGATTGCTCAAGAAGAGGAATTGCCTCATTGTATTGGCCTAGGTTACAATATATTACTATAGCGACATGCAAACACATGACCGGTTATAAACTGGGTTTTCTATTGGTGCAAAATTCATATGATTTTGCTGCTCAAAGTGCTAATTCAAGAGCTTTCTGGGGATTATCTCCTGAAGAAACCAAATCCTTAGCTTGTTTAAGTAAAATGGTTGTATTTTCTTATGTTAAATATAAATTTCTCATAATTGCTTTTAAATTATTAGAAAAATAAATAAGAGAAGAGAAATAATATAAAAGAATTTTGGCTTTGAAATGTGAAGAATACTTTCTTAAAGGTAATATGCCTTTAAGATACAATAAAGCATCAAACTCTCTAATCAAAAATAGTAAAAATGATTATACTAAAATATTTATTTATAATAAATGAATAGACATAAATTTTAATTCAGATGGCTATGACATTCTGTATAATCATGACCTTTATGAATAATAATTTATTTATATTTAAATAGTTATGACAATTTATCATATGATAATTGTTTCTATTCAAACATAATTATTTAAAATACGAATAAAATAAATAAATAAAATTAATTTTATTCATCAATAATTAAATCATTCTATTCAATGTGGGATGCACCATATTCTAAATTACCAACAAATACATCTCACAATCCTTTCCTTTTTCTTTTCTTTTGTCGATAAAAATGCAACCACCATCTATCCCTAACCTTAATGCCATGAACAAGCTCCAAACTAGGAAGCCATGGTCGCTCTCACTCTTAAGGCTTGGGCTAGGAACGAGGAGATCTAAGGAAGGCCTAAGATGTTTTCCCCATTAGGTGCAAGGCTAACTTCAAAGCCATTTTTAGTACCTACAAAGGTGATGCAAAGCTCGGTGAGGGCGCTATAAAGAGCCTCCATGTGATCTAATGTGTCATGTTTTGCAGAGCAAATTGTAGTATGGATACCAAGCTTTTAGGTTTGATTTTGGGTTTTTGTAGTTTTTCATCAAATTTAGTGGTAAAATGAAACAAATAAGCTTGAAAGCCTTTGTGCCTGTTAAGTGTGGATAGTTTTTATTTCATTTTAAAACTTTATTCTCTACTTACATAAATGAGTTTAAGATTGCATTTTGGCACAAATTTGATTTAGTTTTATTCTTTTATTTTTTATTGGTACCTCAAATCATGTTTTTTTATTTATTAACCGATGAAATCGATTGATTTAACTCGTTTCATTAATTTAGGTTTTTATCTTATAAGTCGATCGGTTTAGTTTTTTAATAGATAAAGTTGATTTAATTGATTTTTGAATTTTTACAATCAAATTAATCGAATCACTAATTATTTTATCTTAAAAAATTTTCATCTAAGTCTTTCTTTGATAAATAGCTCTCATAATAATAAGTTATTTTTGGGATTTATATTTAATGCACTGTTAATGTATAGATTTTATATATTATCAATAAATATAATAATATCATTTCGAAGTGATACTACATTATTAATGAGTAAGTTTTTTAAAATATATTAATTTTTGTGTATTTATTTTAAAAGTTGATATTTACTTATAATATAATCTTATTTACTAATAATTATAAAATTTATACAATAACAATAAAAAAATATAAATTTGTTGTTTTATACGTGGAAAACATTTTTTTGTCCGATATCGAAAACAAGTTTAGGATCATTATCCAAATACATTTGATAATGTTTTTCCACCACAAACGTCCAGACGCCGGAGTCAATAGATTAAATGGACATAGTTGAAAAACTTTTATCAAATTAAATACATTTGATAAGTTGTCTAGGCTAGTGAAAAGGACACCATCCACACAATATTTATCAAGTTTTCAGGCTTAAATCATCACAAAGACTTTAAGCAGCTGGACTGGGTAAAAGTCAAGCTCAAATGCCAAAGCTAATGCTTGTTTACGAATATGGCTGCCCGTAGCTTTTATGCTCATCATTTCCATGGTCTCCTGTATTTTTTCAACTCCATGGTTTACTTGTTCTTTTATCAATATTCTTCTTTACAGGCACTACAATTCAACTTCCCTGATTTCTCAGGCACCCCTAACCTTAACGTTAGTGGAGATGCCAGCGTCAAAGATGGATTGCTATCGCTTACCAGAAGCCTAACCGGTAAAAGCTTTGTTGATAGCACAGGTCGTGCTGTCTATCATGAAGAGCTTCAACTTTGGGATCCTGTCACTGGCAAGGCTGCAGACTTCTTTACTCATTTCTCCTTCAACATATCGATGCTTCAGCCACCAAACGGAGGGGATGGAATTACCTTCTTGATTGCACCAAATGGCTCAACCATTCCGGATTATTCTTGGGGAGGATGTCTGGCGCTAATTGACAATTGTTCAGATTTTAACACTTCTGGATTAGTTGCAGTTGAGTTTGATACATACCAGAATGACTGGGATCCAAATGACAATCACATCGGTATAAATATCAATTCCATTCGATCAGCAGCCAACATAACATGGAATACAAGTATCAAAAATGGATCAAAAGCACATGCATGGATCACCTATGATTCTAGGACTAGAAATTTGAGTGTGTTCTTGACATATCTTGAAAACCCAATTTTTTATGGTAATTCTAGCCTTTCATATGAAGTTAATTTATCAAAAGTTTTACCAGAGTGGGTCGCTGTCGGATTTTCATCTTCTACTGGTTATCGAACCGAGATACACAACATTCTTTCATGGGAATTCAATTCAACAAAATTATCCACAGGACCTGATAATCAAGGAGATGGTGGAGGAGTAAATATTGGACTGGTAGTTGGATGTGTGGTTGGTGGATCTTTTGTGGCTGTTGGGACCATCGCAATATTGCTCTTTTTCTGGAGGAAGAAGACCACTCAACAGAAGAAAGAAGAGGGTTCAGAACAGGACGATTCTATGGATCATGAGTTTGAGCATGGCACTGGCCCCAAGCGTTTCTCTTTTGCTGAGATGGTTCGAGCCACTAATAACTTCTCTGAAGAAGGAAAACTTGGCGAGGGAGGGTTTGGGGGAGTCTACAAAGGCTTTCTATCTTCTTTGAACTTAAGCATCGCAGTTAAAAGGGTTTCTAAAATGTCAAAACAAGGGAAAAAGGAGTATATTGCGGAGGTGAAGATTATCAGCAAATTGAGACATAAGAATCTTGTTCAACTCATTGGTTGGTGTCATGAGAAAGGTGAGTTCCTTCTAATCTATGAGTTCATGCCCAATGGTAGCCTTGATTCTCATCTTTTTGGAGCTCAAAGTCCACTTTCATGGGCACTAAGGTATAAGATAGCCCTGGGTTTGGCCTCTGCATTGCTTTATCTCCATGAAGAATGGGAACAATCTGTCATACATAGAGATGTCAAATCAAGCAATGTGATGTTGGATTCCAATTTCAACGCCAGGCTGGGAGATTTTGGTTTGGCAAGGTTAATGGATCAGGAATTTGGAATCAAGACAACAAGGCCTGCAGGAACATTTGGCTACATGGCACCAGAATATATTAGCAAGGGAAAAGCTAGCAAGGCATCAGATGTTTACAGTTTTGGTGTGGTTGCATTAGAAATTGCTTGTGGAAGGAGATCCATTGAATCAAAATCCAAAAAAGAAGCCGAAATCTCATTGCTGGATTGGGTTTGGAGATCGTATGAAAATGGAAGCATTGTTAATGTGGCGGATGAGAAATTGTACATGGATTTTCATTTGGAACAAATGGAATGCTTGATGATTGTGGGATTATGGTGTGCTCATCCTGATAGCACTTTTAGACCCTCCATTAGGCAAGCATTGCAGGTTCTTAATTTTGAGGCACCATTGCCAAATCTGCCTAAAACAATGCCTGTTCCCAAGTATGATATTCCTGCCACCCCTTCATCTAGTTCATCACATGAGCCTTTGATGTCCAATTCATTAGATACTACGGGCCGTTAAGAAGTTAAGGTAGTTATCTTATCTAGTGTTGTATTCAAGTTTTTCTTTCTTATATATATATATATATGGAGAGAGAGAGAGAGAGAGTTGTACTTCTACTTTGTGAAATTCAAATAAGATATTTCTTTCTTGCATCAATTTTCGCAATCTAAATTGATGCAAAATCAGACAAATTGATGCAAAAAGTGTAAAATTTTTGAAAATTTTTGTTGCCTCAATATGCTCATTTAAATATAAAAAATTATCCGATTTAAATTTGTAAAGAGTATGCTAGACTAATGACTAAGTTGGGATTTGAATAAATTTGTAAAGAGTATGCTAGACTAATGACTAAGTTGAGATTTGAATTCCACTATACTTTCGGTGGAATGCAATTGAATTTATTACATCATCAATTAAATTTAAATGTCAATTTCAGTAAGATTTATTCAACATAAATTTTGTTATAAAATGTTTTTTTTAATCACGTGTATAATAATAATAATAATTTTTTTCAATTACAATTATAATAACTTTTATTATTATTTTTAATTTCACTAAAATCAATCTCACTGTAAATATAAATGGATCCTAACTTCCACTCCAGTGTCGCTTTAAAGACAACATAAATGTGTAATGCGTGGTATTAAATGGGCCCAGGAGATCAGCCCAAAATAATAAACTGCTTCAGCCTATATACCTTTTGCATGTTCTAATCATATGAGCTTAGCATAGAAGCTCACCGAAATTATTAAATGAAGTCTTCATGAATGTATGTATTATTATTGATATTTAATATGAAAAAAAAACCATCAATTCTTAGATTTCAATAAGCAAATTACAATCGTATTTAGGTTTAACTTAATAAAAAACTAGTATGTAAATCTATATTAATTTATTTATGAATTTTCATAAATATATTTCAACGGAACTCTTGCTAGTTTTTTAATTTGGTTTTGTAGAATTTTAAACTCTTATAATTAATGTATAAGATAATTTTTCATTAATTAATATATTGATTGATATTTTAAAAAAAAAATTTATTTGTACATTTTTTGGCATATTGTTTGTACAGTTTTTCTGGTAACATGTGTCTTTTTTCCTGTTTTTCCAATAGTAAAATTGTCATTGATCCAAAAAAAATTTTTTAAAATGAAAGCATGTTGACTTTGTCCAAAATCTGTTGTACTTAATTTCATAAAATAATGTTAATATATTTGTTAATTTAAAAATATATATATAAATATATATAATGCAAATGAAAATAGTAAGGAAACAGAGAATATTTTAATTAAATCTATGAATGACATGTTGATAAGGCCAGGATAGGAAATTGCCCGACCCAAACTCAAAAAAGTGACAAATACTTCAATTTCAATCTATCTATAAGAACATTTTATTTACGAGTTCTAATAATTCTGTATTTCTTTCAATTTCAGAAAAAAATTTCTTGGTCATTTTTGTTTTGACATAGATTTTACATTTAATGTCATAATTTTTTTTTGGTATATTATATAGCCATGCTTAGTCATATGATTCATATATTGATAATTTAAATGTCCTAATCTAGCATGTCATAAAAAAAAAAGAATACTCAACAATATAAGCAAAAATATTATTTATTTCATTAATACTTAATTTAAACATACCATAACTGGAATATCATTTTTCAATGAATACATTATTTTTGGACACTATAACTTTATCAGACTCTAGTACAATCTTAAAGCCTTTATTACATAATAGATTTACATATATAATGTTCTTTTTAATCTAGGAACATGAAAAATATTAAGTAAAATTAGTTTTTGTCTTTAAGTGAATTTCAATTCAACCGTTCTTTTTCCAATGACTTTGGCAGGAACATGATTTCCCATAAGAATGTTTTTTGGTCTCTTACATTCTTCATAAGTCTTGAACTACTCTTTATTATTGCAAACATGAATTGTTGCACCAGAATCTAATCACCAATTAAATGATTTATTTGCAGCAGTCATATGAACTTTAATGATTATTTCAATTTGCATGTCAGTGACCATTGCACAAAGTTCATTAATTTCTTGCTCAACCAAATTTGCCTTATTTTCAGAACTAAAACCAATCTTAATTCCAGTATTTTTAAATCTACAATCTTTAATCAAATGTCCTTTCTTTTCACAATGGAAACACATTTTATTCTTGTTAAATTTCGATTTCTTAAATCCATTATTCTTGATTTTAAAATTGTTTTGAAATTTACTAGAAGACTTGTGAGTTTTTTCAGAATTTTGTCCACTCACATAGTTCACATTGGAACATTCAAGAAATAGTGCATCTCTTGCATGATTTTTTGCTTCAATTTGTATGTGAGTCCGAAAATCTTCAATAGTGAAAGTATCTATTGAATGCAGAACTTTCCTCCTATATTCATTCCAAAAAAGAGGAAGTTTTGATAAAATAGTTCCAACTTAAAGTGTGTCAGGGACAATAATTTTTAGCTCACTTAACTTAGAAACTATAATTTGCAACTCGTGCACTTGGTCCATGATTGGTTTGTCATTAGTTATTGAAAATTCAAAGTATTTCAAAGTCATAAACTTATTAGTACCTTTCTTTTTGTTCATGTATTTGTGTTCAAAAGCAGTCCATATCTCTTTTGGTGTTTTCATATTTCTGTATAGATCATATAGATGATCAGATAATGAATTTAAAATATAATCTCGATAGACTAGTTCATTTTCTTCACGTTTGCTTGTTATTGCCTTAACAGCATCAGAATCTTCAAGAGTTGGTTTTGGAATTGGTTCCAAATTTGGATCAAATACATAAAACATCTTCAATGCAGTTAACAGAAAAACCAGAATTTACAACTCGTGCACTTGGTCAATGATTGGTTTGTCATCAGTTATTGAAATTCAAAGTTTTTCAAAGTTAAAAACTTATTAGTACATTTCTTTTCGTTCATGTATTTGCATTCAAAAGCAGTCTATATCTTTTTTGGTGTTTTCATACTTCTATATAAGTCATATAGATGATCAGATAATGAATTCAAGATATAATCTCGACAAACTAGTTCATTTTCTTCATGTTTGCTTGTTATTGCCTTAACAGCATCAGAATTTTCAGGAGTTGGTTTTGAAATTGGTTCCAAATTTGGATCAAATACATAAAACATCTTCAATGCAATTAATAGAAAAACCATTTTGTTTTTTCATCTAGTATAGTTTGATCCATTAAAACGATCAAGTCTAAATACATCTTGATTTTGAAAATGAACCTTTATGCTTGATTCCAAATCCATAGCAGCATTAGGGACAACAGTAGATATAGTATCCATAATTACCTTTAAAATTGTTAGAAAAGTTAAAAAAATAGAAATAATATGAAAGAAAAAAAATATGATTTTGATGCATAAAGAACATTATTTTAAAGGCAATTATGCTTATAGGATACAACAAAGCCTTAAAAACTCTTTAAATCAAAAGTAATGAAATTGATCAGGCAGAAAAATCTATTTATAACAAATGAACAGTCACTAATCAAGTTAATTCAAAAAGTCATGACATTCTGTATAGTTTTATTTTCCTATTTAAATAAACTTTATTTAAACAGTTCTATTTTTTCTGTTCAAAATATGTTTATTCAGAATTGGTAATATTCTGAAATAAATAAATAAATAAATAAATTTAAAAGATTTAAAAATTAAATCTATTTGCTAAACAAACTCAAATGCCCAAAATACCCAAATGCATATCTTTTAACTTTTAAAATTATTTGATCAACTAAGAAAACTCCAAGCAAGCTCAAATGATTTGACATACTCCAACACTTAACTTAATTATTTAATTAACATAAATAACCTCTTTAAACCACATATAAATGATTTTTTTAACTTAATATGAGATATACTTCGTTCTAAACTACTAACACTATTTTCAAAATCACCAAAACCAATCTTATAAATGAATCCTAATTCCCACTCCATTGTCGATTTAAAGACAGTGTAAACGTGTAATGCATGGTATTATATGGGCCCAGGAGATGCGCCCAAAATAATAAACTGCTACAGCCTATATGCCTTTTGTATATTCTAATCATATGAACTTAGCATAGAAGTTCACCGAAATTATTAAAAGAATTCTTCATGAATGTATGTATTATTATTGATATTTAATATGAAAAAAAAAACAATCAATTCTTAGATTTCAATAAGCAAATTGCAATCGCATTTAGGTTTAACTCAATAAAAAACTAGTTTGTAAATCTAACCTAATTTATTTATGAATTTTCATAAATATATTTACTTGCTAGTTTTTTAATCTTGTTTTGTAGAATTTTAAACTCTTATAATTAATTTATAAGATAATTTTTCATTAATTAATATATTGATTGATATTTTTTTAAAAAAAAATTTGTACATTTTTTGGCACATTGTTTGTACAGTTTTTTTGGTAAAATGCGTCTTTTTTCCTGTTTTTCCAATAATAAAATTGTCATTTATCCAAAAATATATATTTTAAAAATGAAAGCATGTTGACTTTATGCAAAATTTATTGTACTTAATTTCATAAAATAATGTTAATATATTTGTTAATTTAAAAATATATATATAAATATATATAATGCAAATGAAAATAGTAAGGAAACCGAGAATATTTTAATTAAATATATGAATGACATACTGATCAGGCCAGGATAGGAAATTGCCCAACCCAAACTCAAAAAATTTACAAATACTTCAATTTCAATCTACATATAAGAACATTTTATTTACGAGTCCAGCGTGCAAATTTTTTTTTTGCCAATGCTTTCAGATCAAGTTCAACCTTGTTTATTATTAGTTACATAATCTGTTAATAAAATACTAAATTTTTAAATTAATGATTAAAATTTAATTTTTGAAATCCTCGTATGCCAACAAAAAAGATCAACATTCTTTAACCAAAATTGGTCGGACGCTTAAGGCTCGATGGGATCAAAAGTTTTCCATAATCAAATATCATTAATAGACCCAATCAGATGGACGACGTTCAACTTTTCATCTCATCCATTATATCCACCTAATCAAGAATTGATCACTTTGAATGAGATTACAGTCATTCAATTATGTTTTGAATTAAAGAAAATGAGATTTGAACTGGAAATCACTTTTTACAAGATACAATTACATAAACTAAACCTGATCATGCAAGGAATATCAAGAAACAGGAAATAGCAGAATCACCTTCCCCAGAAAAAGCCTAGGAATCTTAAACTTTTTTTATTGGAATAGCAATGGTGACGTTGCA